TCAAATCACACTTGTTGACAATCTCTTCGTCTGGAACATAATATCCCTTTCTTGGTTGACAGTGAGTCGTATGTAAACTCCCTTTGGGGCGTCAACTTCCCAAAAGTCTTGAGTCCTCTCGGCAGCTGCGGCCTCCTTGGCGGCGGGATCTGGAATGGACTTGTCAAACAGATGGGCGAAAGGGTGGTCATGGACAGTTAGCTTCACTTGAAGTTCTTGTACATGATCACATCAATATAACGACCGATATCTGTTGGGACACCCATGTCAATCCTGGAACCAACTAACTCCCATCCTTTCGACATAGACTCTTTAGGACCTGACATCTTGAAGTCGTCTACATACACAACCAGGAGAAGCTTGAGTTGTGGATGAAAGAACACTGATGGCCACCCTTCCGGGTCAGGTATAATAAACCCTACAGCTATGAGCATCTTTTCACAATGGATCTCCCATAATCCCCGCGAATCGGGGTGACCATGCAAGGCTATCCTAACAAGCACAACTGGGCGGCTATACTTGCCTACCCAATGCTTTGGCCATCGGTCGACTGGAAGCTCGACCCAAGTTTCTATTCCCTCCATAAGTGCTTGTGTGTAGGCCTGCGCCCCATCATTCTGTTGGGTGACATGGCCTGGCTGCGAACCAAAAGCATCCACTGATTTCCCAGCCTCCATAGTTGCTGGGGAAGAGCCTAGCTCGGAAAATAAGGCGACATCGGCATTTTCGCCGCGGACATTATTCCCTTGGAACACTGTCCTACCTTTAAACTTCCTAAGCTTATGCCCAAGTGGTAGTTCGCTACCCTTTTCAACACATATTTCAAACACCTTTCCAACATGTACTTTCTTTCCCTTTCTCTTGGCACCGTCGGAAACTGTGCTCCATTCTTGGACGGTATCGTACAACCAGGCAGTTTTCTTGACAAGTTTATTTTACTCAATGTCAAGTGATTCCTGAGCTTTGGGATTGGATCTTATTTCCGTCTTGTTGACTGGCCGGGCCACAAAAGTGTTTATGATCTTCTCCCCGCTCATGATACTAACCCGGGCGCACTTAACCCGATGCCTATCTTGGGAATACTTACATGTCCGCATGACAGGAACATCATCATCTTCGGGGTGATAAGCTTGGTGAGTCTGGTTGATGATACTGGCAACGCCTTTCTTGGACTTCTCTAGCTTTTCAAGATCTTTTTGAGCCCTGGCTGCCTTCTTCTTCTCAGCCCCACTTCTAGCCAACTTCATTTGTTCTTCTCTGATAGCTTCTCTTCTAGCTTTAACAGACGCCGATTGCCAAACAAAAGATGGCATGTCCATTGGTTTGCTTGATCCCTCGTGCCTCCTCGTCTTGAAACCATCTGCGCTGTAATATTGCGGGTCATCCCTTCTGATCTTTTCGACTACCCCAGCCGATGGGTTTATAACTTCTACCATGTCTTTATCCGACGGGTCGTCTCCGGGAATTACCTCATCCAGCTTGACCTCTTCCTCAGTCCTTTCTCGGAGGTCGATGATGCTCTTGGAAAAGCTGGTGAACATCACCTCGCACGTGGCGACAGCTTCGTTCCAGTCCTCATACTTCGGCCACATGATGAAATTCTGTTCGAGAAGAAACCATGCGTCATCCTTTCTGTGACAGATGGTTCGATAGGGGAACTCTTCTACTGAAAATTTGTCACTTGGCGAGATATAGGCTTCTAAATCTCTTTTGACATTTACTTGACATCCAGCATATTCATACCATCCCTCTCGATCCTTAATGTGTCTCATGAAGGGTAACAATGCATCATCGTGAACTGCATGGGCTGACAATTGGAAATCATCCCTTCGACTACTTTCAGGTTCATCCATCTTGGCATCTTGATCTTCCAAAGTCGGCTCCTGGTTCCCCAGGGCTTCCGTCAGTCTTGGTTAATCCTTGCCAAAGGTAGATCTGCCTTGCAACGGATACTGTGATCTTGAGGACTCGCAATACTGATGCAGTGCCATTGGCTTCATTTTCAATCAGATCTTTGGTAAGTATAACCATGAATTCTTTTCTCCACATGAATTCTGGGTGAATGGCATAGCCTAGAAACAATCCGGGACTTGAAGTTGGATCAAATCTAAGACCAGGACCATTCCAGTAGTCAACAATGCATTCGACTGGGATAAGAGGTCCGTCGAACATTGATCCAAATCTGAGTTCCCAGGGTGATGGGTTGCCCCCCGTTGCCAGAAAGTTCTGCGTGAAGAACCAATGTCGGGCAGCATGTGGCCAATGCCAGTGGTTCAGACCCGCTTGAAGTAGGTTCACTCGGGTTCCTTCTAGTACTGACCTGACTGCTCTCTCGGCTTGGGCGTCGGACTTGGGTATGTAGTCTCTACTTAGGACGTGACGGCACTGAAGTATCTTCATGGCAGGAATCAATTCCGGCGCATTGTCACTGTAAAAGACTCCGCTTTCTTCAGTATGTCCAACAAAATGTTTGATCGCCAGAATTGCGGCATTGGCATTGGTGGTTCTTCTTACATTGGGGTACACATACATAAACCCAGTGGCTATGTCCTTCACTACCAGTGCACTTTTCTCATCATCGATTCCAAGTTCATCTTCATCTCGGGTTACAATGAAATCAGCAGTGATGTGATCTCCGAACTTCTCAGCCTCAACGTGAGTTGATCCGCCTACAGTTCTTGAGGGTGGCTTAAACATCTTTGCTTTCTGGCAAATGAATGTCGCAGTAGGGATTCTTGGGCACATGGGTAAGCATATAGCGGATAGTCTTAGCTTCTTCCCGCAAAGCTTTCTCCCCTAGTGACCTCTTGAAATCATCTTTGTCGTCATGGACACTACTGCTGCTACCCTTAGATTTGCTTTCCACAGGTGGCTCAACCTTCCGGTCGGCATCAGGATCCTCAACCGCCTCAGGCAAGATTGGCTGGGGCTCTCGAACATCGATGGGTTCATTGGGTTTCGGCCAAAGGAACTGCAGGGACCTTGATAGTATCAGCTTCCTTGGCTTTGGGCTTGTCATCACTTTTCTGATCAAAAAACAACCCAGAAACTTGATCATTCTGCGTCGAAATTTTTCATCATCGTCTTCATCCTCCTTGTCCGGGTCATTCTCACCATCATCACCATCGGGAGGGCCAGAACCGCCCTTGGGCTTATTCTCCTTTGGGATCTTTCGGCCCTTATCCCCTTGATTCCTATCATTTGGATCAGGTGGTGTGGGTGGTTTGCCGCCCCCTCCATTACCATCTCCCCCATCCCCAGGATCATTGCCGCCTGGAGCATCATCCTCTCCAGGATCATAGAAGTCGTTGTCATTCGGTCCTAAGTCGGACGGAGACTAGTGCTGCGTCGGGACGGGCGAATTGGCCTCCCTAGTTGAAGTTGACCCCATCAAACAAGTTAGACGCCACTCCTCCCGGAGGGCATGTTGAATTCGAAGACCTTGCAATGCCCGGTTCCATCTTCACTGGAATTGGACCCTTGGAGTACTTTGGATCAAGATACGTGACCTTTACTTCATCATCGGAATCCAGAGTTCTACCCGGTGAAGGACCAAAACATTACAGGCACCGTTGGGGTATGGGGAAAATTCATCTTTGGAGGTGGTGCAGCAGGAGTTGCCTTTGATGTAGGTCGGACATACTCAGACCCGGCTGCAGTCGATGTGAAAGCTTCGGCAGTTGTAGTCATCGCGGCAGCCTCGACGATCGGTGACGCCCGTGCCTGGGCAAACTGGGAGTCAAGCATGCTCTGTGACTTAAGGTCGCGTTGCATCTGTGATTGAACCATTTGTTCCAAGTGAGTGATGCGATCACTTTGAATACGTCTTTCCTCCTCAGCTTGTCTTTTCAATTCAAGGATTTCTTGTTCTTTGCTTGAAAGTGACTGGCGATGATTGGCGTCGACAACACGCTGGTAGGCCTGAGTTTTCTCATTCATTTGAGCCCCTTGGAACTTTACATGTTGGTGTGCCTCATGCTTCAAACTCTCTCGATATTGGGTCCCCATCCTATTCATTTCATGCTCTTTGGACATCATTGCATCTTGGGCCCTCTGACTTTCAATGCCCTCAAGGACTCGCAATGCTTCCACAAGTTCCTCAGTCCTGGCCATATGGACGGCTCCGGCGTGAGCTTCGGCCTTAGCTGAGACCTCACGGTGACGGAGCCCGGCCGTTGTTTCCACAAGGCTTGTCAGATCAGGATCATGCGAGAGCAAGTGAACACTTTGCTCGACAAAATTGACTTGAGGATTGTCAACATGTACATTCTGTTGGTACGAATTGTGAACATTCATTTGGCTCATTTGGCGAGTCGGTGGTCCACCCTCCCGAGGGGCTTGAGGAACATAACCACGATGTGTGAAGCCTGCATGGGAAGGCACAACTGCGTTCACTAATGGAGGCAAGTGGCGACGTTCTCTCAAACTCCTTGACTTGTCGGAACCAGTGGGCGTGCTGATGTCAATAGGGAATGGGGTATCCGAAACAGGAAGGTTCACGGGATTTGCCATGGCAGCATCAGAGGAAACACGCGTCCCGTGGCCCTCGGTGGAAGAACCCGAGGGGGCAGACATTCCTATAAAGGAGAGAAAAGGCGTTACGGCTGATAACCTGGTTTACAGGCTAACTAGCCAATAAGCAGCAGCAATTACACACTGTTTTTCTTGAGCCAGAAGCACAAAACAGTATAGGTAAAACATGAGTATGTACAGTGATATGTGCAAGAAACAATTTTAAACACCGCCAACTTTTTGATTTAAAGTCTTGCCTCTGGAAGATCGGGGAGAAGAAGGAAAAGATGACTGACTGCTTCAAAGGCTCTGAACCGGGAACAGTTGGAAAGTCTGTTCTGGTTTTGACTGTTTTGTACAGCTGACCCACATCTGTCTGGACAAAGAATGGCGAAGAGGTCTCAAGAGACATAAATCTGCTCGGAAAGGACAAAATGCGAACGAACATGAAAAACTAGCTCCACCTCTCACATCTCGCCATGTGTGTCCTTGTCAAAGACGCAAAACAGCAATGCTTCGAGATGGCACTGAGCCCGGCCATGACCATCGAGCATTGCAAGGCCAAAGGATAGATTTAAGTGTTTGAATCTGCTGGGCCAGTCAATTAATGTATGTCTCCATGTAGGTCAATGTGGGTTATGCACGGCTACGCTATGTTTTACTTACAACATCGGACAAAGCTGTTTGCAGCTTCCTGGAATCGCACATAGTCGTTCCACAAGGCTCTTGAACAGCTGAATAAGCATCCACACTGAGGTGGGCAACCGCTGATAACTCTTGGTTCCTGTCGTTTTGGGGATGCCATGCTGTAGATGTAATATTGTGCTGCCTATTCTTGCTGAGGATGGATTAGAAAGTGTATTTTTCTGCCATGCGGCCACACGATGCAGGTGTCACAAATGAACATGTTTGAAGAACCATGCAGGACATCTGCCACGATCCGATCCATGCCTTGGCAGGCAACATCACGCAGCTTGGCGTTTTCACCTGCCACAATGTTCACTTTGCATCGCCGGCTTTGCTGAAGATTGCCTCCTTAGTTCAATCTGCTCTTCCGGGTAAAGAAATTCCTTGCGGTTCCCTACTGTCTTAACCAAGATGCCAGTTTCTCGACCACTTTAGCCACTCGTGGATTGTCCTTGTGAAGCCGGATGTTAGCAGGGTCCATCATCACCTCTGTGGGGCAATGCGCACCAACTCCGGCCGATGTGGCTCAATGAATGGAAGCACACCGCAGTTTTCGGATTGTCGAACAGGAATGAAACAACTATGCAGCCGTACAGCCTTGGAAACCTGTTGTCTTTGCTGTTTGCAAAACCTGAAGAAAAGCAAATGCTAGATTACATCTGAAACAGAGATTACAAACATCTACAGAATCAAACATCCAGAATTCTGGCCCCTTTCCACTGTCGCTGCCGAGTTGCATCCTGGATAACTGCCATTCCCTCAGGGTCCGTGGCCGCCTTTGCAATCTCGGGATCATTTAAAAGTTCCAAGGTTACTTGCGGATCCTCAGCCGCGCAAGTGATTTACGTGCAAGTCTGAAACTGCAAAAGCACATGCACAGACACAAACTCACAAATGCTACAAAAAACGTCAAAACCCTTTGTCACGCAGCATCCCAACATGACCTGAAATTGTAACTTGCAAGCGCGTCTCTAATGTCGGAACTCCTTTGTCTGAGGGAGGGGTATCTGCCAATGGTGCGCTTGGCGGCGGCTGCGGTGGTGGTGAAGGGGTCAGTTTTGCCTCACATGGACGGCCACCCCATTGACTTTACGTTTACAGCATTTTCCAGCAACCGACTTGCAACAACATTGGAATGCCATAATGGATTGAGTACGGCACAAGGGGGTAGCGGAAGTTTTAATCATAGGAAACTATAGGAAAGGTGAGTTGCTGTGAGGCAAAGCAAATCTACTGATCGACCGAAAGGTGGGTGGAGCTGTGCTTTTTGGAGTGGTTGCAGTGATCACCTCACCCACAACTGCTGGATGTAGTGTGGTGTAGTGTAGCGCAGTCGTAGTTGTAGTGTAGTTGTAGTTACGGTTGTGGTTGTGTTGAAATGTTCAATTTTTGTGTAGTGGTAGTTGTAGTTGTCGCTGTAGTTATTGTTGTTGTGGGTGTGGTTGTGGTTGTAGTTTAGTATGGCGCGGTTGAACGTCCAAAAGTGGTCCAAACGTGGTGTGTTTTTCGCGTTTTGACTTCGAAATGTGCTTCGCGCAAACAGCGTGCGCTCTTTTGACGTCGCAACCTCCAAAAATAGTCTGAGCATGTGCTGTTTTTAGCAGTTTGATTTCAAAACGTGCTTCGCGCCACAATTGCGTGCGTTTTTTTCGACCTTGAGCCCCAAAAATGTGGTGTTTGTAGCATTTTTTGATTTCAAAACGTGCTTCGCGCCACAACGGCGTGCGCTTTTTCGACGCCAAAACCTCCATCCAAAAGTGGTCCGAACATGTCCGAACATGTTGCGCTTTTAGAATTTCACGCGCTTCGCGCCACAACGGCGTGCACCCTTTCAACATCTCAACTGTTTAAAAGAACGTGGCGTGTTTTGCACCTTTTTTTTTTTCGCCACACTTTTTCAATTTCTTAGCTTTTAAGAGTGGTCGGAACCGGTGGTGTTTGTAGCATTTTCACTTCGAAATATGCTTCGCGCCACAGCGGTGTGCAATTTTGGATCTCTCATCTGACCCCATGGCGCCGCACCCACCGCTTCAGCGAGCCTACTTTTCGACCCTCTGGAACCCAAACAAATTGGAAAATCTCAGTGCCCCGCGGCTTTTCTACTTTTTCGTGCACTTTGATCTTCTTTCTTCTGACGCTCTCTTCTCCAACTCTTCCCACCTCTGCTTTTTCATCTTTCCATTATTGTCGAAAGTTTGACTTCTAAACGTCCTTCGATTAGGGATACACAATTATGTATACATGGATATACTAACGTGCCCGGACTGTCACGTCATGTCTTAGTCAAGTGCAGGATCAAATGCCAAAGGTTCTTCAGGCGTTTGAGCCATTTTCTTGTCGACAAAATCCTTGGAACTTGGCAGCGGGGAAGTGTGCGGCAGAAGCAAACTTGAAAGCATCAGCAAATGCAGTTCTCAACATTCTAGAAGTTACCTGAATGTGTGCCCAAGAGTCCATAACGTCAAACAACTCGTCGCTAGCAATACCATGCTTCATTTCAAACCTAAGCATGCGGCAAAATAGAATCAAACAATCAATCACGCTAACACCTTCCTCAGGACATGGCTAGATACGTCAAGAAATTTCTTGACCACTCACCGCACCATACCGCACCACTCACCACTGCTATCCAGGAACTCTTTGAAGGTCACAGTCTCCAGAGATTGTCGCAGAAGAGTGGCGGCCCTGTCTGGGCTGGATGGATGGATGCTGATGATGGCGGTCAGACTGGTTGTGAGTCCAAAACAAATCCCAGAAACCGAAATCTATGGAAACCTATGGGCATCTATGGAAAACAGTGGAAGTCTATAGATTCTGGTGGGTAAATCGGTGTCTCTCGCTGTATCTATTCAGGAGGCCGGACTATTCATAATCATTCCGTGATATGTCTGACGCCAGATTGGTATGTATTATTGCCATTTATTCACACAGGTGCATGCCAGGTTTTCCAAATGCACGTGCGCACATAACAAGCAACATCATATAAATTAATGTAAATTAAGCTGCTGCTCAGAGAAACTTCACAAGCTGCCCCCGCCTCTGACCTTCTGAAAAGGGAACCACCTCATCATTTTTCCCATGGCAAAGCAGAACAGGCAGTCGCTGATTCGCTTGGGAAATGCCTCGTGGTCATGGAGGATCGGAATGCCACAAGCTCGGATTGACGAGCTCCACCACAAGAAGCGCCCAGTGAATGCCAGTCAAGTGCAAACAAGTGGCTCACCTTGGATTCTTTCGCGATCACTGGCAATCACTCATGTTCCAAAGCTACTTTGCGGTGAGTTCTTTCCTTCGAAGCAGGAATCAAGATGAGCTGAAGATCCTGAGAGAAAACTAGATACTATATATAATATATAATATGACACAATACAATATAACATAAAATAATTAACATAGTACAATATAAAATAATAAACTATAATAGGAAATATAATATAGCATAATATAATGTAATATAATATAATATCATATCATATTATTAAAACATATAATATAATATAATTAAACATATAATATAATATAATTAAATATAAAATATAATAAAATAAAAAAACAATATAATACAACGTAATATAATGTAAAATAATGTAATGAAATGTAAAATTATGTAATATAATGTAATATAATGTAAATGAAAAAATAATGTAATATAATGTAATATAATGTAAATGTAAAATAATGTAATATAATGTAATAGAATGTAATATAATGTAATATAATGTAATATAATGTAATGTGATGTAATATAGTAAAGTAAAATATAATACAACACAATAAAAATAATATGAAATAGTATGATAATCAAATATGATATAGTATAATATAATATAAGAAATATAATATAATACATATATATATACATATAGTTAATTAAATAAATAAATAAATATATATATATTAAATATATATATATATTTATATATATATGCTTCTTTTATAGATGATATTCGGATAAACATGGATAAAGTTAGCGGCCCCTCATTGCATCAAAGGGACTGATGGATCTCCAAAAAAGCCGGAGAGGGCTACGCTGCCCCCCAAAGCTGCATCTGGGAAGCTCAAGGCAGCGCGAAGTGCGCAGCCTGCGCCCTGTCCGAGCGGTTTTTGGGCACCGTAGTTTCAAGAGTGGTGCTATTGGTTAGGCCTGAGCAAAGCCTCCAACAACAATCTTATGCGCAGCCACCTCAGGATGCTTCTGCAGATGGAGGAGGTTGGATGAGTACAAACGAACGAAGACAAGCATGCTTTCATATGCTTTTGCTGCCGTGCGATGAAAAACAAGGTCTCAACTCCTCTTGCAATCTCCCGGCGGATCATTGCATGAAGATACGCACTGATGGGCTGAGAAACCTTGTAAACTGCGATTTGCAGACTTGCACTGCGGAAGGATGCAACATTTTCAATGCAAGCTTTCATGTGAACAATAGATGCTAGAACGGATGCCCAGCTGGCCCAACCACAACCACAAACATGTCCTCAACCACTCCATGATTCAGCCCTGAACGGCCGAATAAGAGCATCGTACATGGTTTCCAGTCAGTGCATGCAAAAGAAAGTGCAGAGTTGTGGTGCAACCCTGCCCAAAGCTGGGGCTAGAACCCGATCATCGATTATCCACTGCCCGTTGATGGGTAGAAACCAGGACTGCAGCTTCTGATTCTGGAGAGTCTCCTCACAAAAAAATGTCTCAACCCAGGCAAAAGGTGCTGAATAAAATGGAAGTCATCATGGTGGTATTGAAATTGTGATCACGTCAAAGGGAAAGCATGGCCCAAAGAGAACAGAGGAGCTGAGTTCCTCAGGAGCCTGAGGCAAAATCAAACGAAGTCCCTGAATGTTCAGCATGGGTTGGAGAGTGTCCACCAGAAACCTGGAACGAACATATGGAAATTTTTGTCTGAAACCTGTGCAACTCTGCGCAACCTTGTGCAACTCTATGCGCAACTCAAATATCAGCCTTTAGGGCTGCCACTGGGCATTTTGATCACCGAAACCATGAAGAAAAATAACCTTGGCCATTGCTCACTGTTGAGTGCCGTTGCTTGCATTGCTGAAACCTTATGCGCTCCCCGGCCATCATCTGCTGCCAAGCTTCGCACTTATCTGCTGTTGATGGGCCAAATTCCTGAGCTGCACAAGTTATCAAATCTAGACAGTGACAGGCAACCGCGGAAGTCACATCAGCTTTGCCAGCGGCACCTTGCTCCGAATAAGACCAGGCAAACCAATACGTCAGGCAGTGCGCCAACAACGATTTCTTAATCATTCCTTGAAGATGGGACATTCTTCTTGTGAATGCAAATTGAACCAAAACAAACATGTGCAGTATGTTTGAGATCACTGTAAACGCAACATTTTGTTGGAACATCTCTTGTGAATACAAGCTTCATGGAGATCATATTTGTTGGCATGCGATTTTCTTTGCATTCGGGTGTGCAGCCGCTTGTGAACTTGCGTTTTGATCATCTGCATCAAATTTTGTTCTGCAGTCATGCTTCCTTCGGCTCACCTCCAGGCCATGCTTCACATAACCTGGTACACGGAAGTTATCCAAGGGTTCTCGTGAACCACTTGAACCGACTAAACGCACGTGAATGGAGCAAATCTTCACAAATAGACACAAAAAATCAGACACACACACACAATATAATTCACATACATACATATGTATATAAAATAAAGGAATGAATGGACATGTATCCTGTATATTTTTACGTGCGCACACATCTCTCTCTCTCTCTCTCCCCCTCTCTCACTCTCTCTCTCTCTCTATATATATATATATATGTGTGTGTGTGTGTGTGTCTACATGCGCTGATATGCACATACACATGCACATAGATAAACAACCGGGCGGGTGGGAAACCGCGCTAGCGGTTAAGCACTTTTTGAAAAAAAAACTCTTCTGGCGCCGTGGCGCCGTGCACATTTTATGATGAACATTACCTTAAATTTTCCCGGGGAAAATTCAATGACTTTGAAGGAATGGCGTAGTGTTTACATGTATTTACAGGGTTTTGTGCTGCTGGCGGGGTGGTCGCTTTTTCCCTGTTCTCTGGGCGTCTCACTTCTCCAAGCGTTTGCTCAGAGCGTGGCTGGTGAGACTGAGGAAGTCTGTGCGATTTCCATGTTGCCATCGCCATTGCCACATCCTAATTCCTTGAAGCAACTGAGGGTTCACAGCACCATCTTTACGTGTGCTCCAGGAGGTTGCTACTGCACCTTTGGAAATTTTCCACATTCCATCGATACCACCCGGTGTGCACTAGCAAGTTGCCCCATGTCTTTTTCTTGTTGATGCAAAAGGCGCCCTTACTATGATTGCAAGCTTCATGAAGCAGATTATTTTCAGAGGTCGGTTTAGGGTAGCATGGGGCACCGTCTGTCACCAAGATGCTTTTGCGACCAAGCTTGTGGGTCGGTAGCGCACATTGCCAAGCACCAGTGGCACGAATGCGTGCCGCAATCTCAGGTGGAGGCTTTCCAGACTTGGAAGCTGCTGCGGCTCCCAAATCATAAATTTGGAATCTTCGCCCCCACCCTACCCCTAAGCACTGACGTAGCAGCAGCGAAGCATCCACGTGTGTACGCAAGGCACATGAACGTTAATATCCCACCCCACCCCACCCAACCCCTAAGCACTGACGTAGCAGCAGCGAAGCATCCACGTGTGTACGCAAGGCACATGAACGTTAATACCCCACCCCACCCAACCCCCCAACCCCTAAGCACTGACGTAGCAGCAGCGAAGCATCCACGTCTGTACGCAAGGCACATGAACGTTAATATCCCACCCCACCCCGACCCAACCCCTAACCATTGACGTAGCAGCAGCGAAAAATCCACGTGTGTACGCAAGGCACATGAACGTTAATATCCCACCCCACCCCACCCGACCCCCATATTGAAAAAGTAGCACGACTACACGCGCGGTTTTCCACCCGCTAGCATAAACAAGACATTGCATATACATGATTACAAAATAGTGCCCGGCCCATGCCGGGGCCGGAATGTGTAAAAAATGAAACGGTTATAAGAAGTCAATAGCCTATAAGAAAGTTTTTGCGATGCAAAGCAATGAACTGTTGAAGTTGTGAGGTGCACCAACGAATGAGCAAAATGGTGGTGGAGATGCCAACACAATGACATGAAAGAAAGAATCCATGCAGAACTGACCGAATGAACCAATGAATCAATGCATGAATGAAATAGTGGGTCGATGAATCAATGAACAGTGGATCAATGAATGGGTGAATTTGGATGAATTTGGATGAATTTGGTGAGTTGATGAACCAATGAGCCAATCAATCAGTGAACAGACGATGAGTCTGTGAACCATGCATCAGTGGGTCGATGATTCAATGAATCAATGAACGGTTGAGTCAGTGAGCCAATGAATCTTGAATAAATTCAAAAGTGAACTAATAAGTCGACGAAACAGCAAACCAATAAATTCAATGATTTTATGAATCAATGAACCGATGAACCAATGAACCGGTGATTTAATGAACGGATGAGTCAGTGAATCAATTTGTTTTTAATGGATAAATGAACCGATGATTCAGTGAATCAATGAAACAATGAACCGATGATTCAGTGAATCATTGAAACAATGAATCCGTGAATCAATGAATGAGTGAACTAATGTGTGAATAAATCAATCATCAGTGAATCAATGAATTCGGTGATTCAATGAATGAATGATTTAATGATTGCTGAATCAATGAATCAATGAATGGATGATTCAATGAATCATTGAACCACTGAATCAATTAATAAATCAATGAGTTGCCAGTGGACGACGCAATGAACCAGTGAACCACTGAATCAGTGAGCCACTGAACCAATTAACCACTGAATCAATGATTCAATGAATCAATGAACCAAGTAATAAACGAATGATTGAATAAATGATTGAATCGAAGAACCGATGAAAACTGTAAATGAATGAGTCGGTGAATCAGTGAATGACTATATAAACTACTGAGCCGATGAATCAGTGAATTAAATAATGAATGAACGAATGAATGAATGAATGAAGGAAGGAAGGAATGAATAAATGAATGACTGAATGACTGAATGACTGAATGACTGAATGACTGAATGACTGACTGACTGAATGAATGAATGACTGAATGACTGAATGACTGAATGACTGAATGACTGAATGACTGAATGGCTGAATGACTGAATGACTGAATGACTGAATGACTGAATGACTGAATGACTGAATGACTGAATGAATGAATGAATGAATGAATGAATGAACGCATTCGTGAGCCGATGAATCAATGATTCAACGAATGAGCAAATGATTGGCTGGATGGATGAATGACTGGATGGATGAATGAGCTACTTCTTTCTTGAGCTAGTTTCTTCACTGAGCGACCTCTTCGGTGAGGTAACTCTTCTCATCTCAGCTACGCCTCCCAGCTAAGCTTCTGCAACCTCCAGCTCAACGCTTTTCTGCGCGCAGCAGTGCCAATGCGCTTTGTCACAACGGGCTGCAAACCCGCATAGCAGGACAAATCGACCAACATTCGCGCAGTGTCAGCAAATCGAGCTCCCGGTACAGTCTGGTGCACATTTTGCTGACCTGATCTGCCAAAACTGCTCCGAACATGCCAGCCTTTAACGATTTTTCTCTGAAGTCGAACTCTCGCTACAGTCTGGTGCGCATTTTGCCGGCCTCATCTTCTGAAAGTGCTCCGAAAGTGACAGTTTTTTCAACGTTTTGAAGTGCAAATCGATCTCCCGCTGCAATCCTGCGCGCTTTTTGTCGACAACTGTCCCAGATCGAGGCCAGCAACTGCGGAAACAGAGACCCTGCGACACCAAAAGCCACATTACCCGAGAAAACAGCGCTTTGCGCACAAGAGTGTTTTCACCCCTGAATTCACACGCTTCCGAACTGTTACTCTCCTCTACTGCTCCACGCGCGAACTGCTCTTGCAAACTATGTGGTGCACATGATGACAGGACTGCCCTGGACAATCGTCCGTAACTGGGAAGTTTTCGAACCAAATGTCCTTTGATAATAAATGCGGTGCTGTTACAAACCTACCAGATTTTCTTATATACATAATATCATAAAGTTGACCTGTGACAAAACCTAGTGCAGCGCTTGAGCACCTCTGCCATGCTTTCTCAACCTCATCGCTGTTGCCTCCTTTGGAGGTGTCTTCTGTTGCAACAGGCTCCACTTCCGACCTCCGGTGTGAAATGCACAAGAGCCGGTACAATCGGTACCAAACACCTCAACAGCACCCATCTTCAAGACATCAAAATCTTCAAAGCTGTGCTTGGAGCCTTTGCGGTTCGGAGCCTGCCCAATCCTCCTCTGTGGCAGCAGCTCGCTGAATTAGCCTTTTCTGCGGACTGTGGCTTGCAGATTCTCGAGACGAAAATGATCCCAAAAGATCCCAAGAGTGCATCGATGTGGAATGCATGTAGATGTATGCGGAATGTATGTGAAATGTATGTAGAAATATGATGAAATATGTAGAATGTATGTGGAGTGTATGTAGAATGTAGGTGCAGTATGTATATATATATATGGCGGAATGTATGTGGAGTTTATGTGGAAAGTATCTTTTCCCACGAGAAAAAAATCTGCAAAGCAAACTGACAAACATACTCCACAAACTGGATTTTATGTAGAAAGTATGTACAATGTATGTGGAATGTATGTCATGTACGTTATGAGAGCATGCCATGCAATGTGCATATAAAGTACAAGTTCACGCTGCACACAACTCCGCTTAACAGCGAAGCAAAAGCCGTAAATAACCTACCATCGAAAACCCATGGGTGCAGCAAAGTGACGAATCCATGTCAAAGCAATCATCCACTAGAACTCCCCTCTTCTTGAGGAAAGCTTTGAGCTCTCGAGTTTTCATTCCTTGGATTGTCGGTCTGGATATGGGCCACTGCGGCCACAAGCCTTCAATCAGGCCATGGCACCGAAAAGATCAACCAGTTCACGAGGCTCTCTTTCTGCAAGGACTCTGGTGCGATGTCTCGAAAATGAACCTCCCCGGATTTGCCCAAGTAGTTACGATTGAATCTGTCTGAATCCATTCTGTGTTTTTTCATATCATATCCATTTCAACTCATACACATGAAGTGTTTAAACTGTTGCATATATAATTGCATGCTTGATATGCATTGATATGCTGCACCCAAAGGGTGATGCAGTCGGAGTGACTGATGCCATCCAAAAGATTCAAGCTGCCCAAAGTTCATTCGCGTCCATGGACCCTACTGTAGGATGCCAAGGTGGGTTCTTTAAGACCTGGACTGCATACGTCTGGATATCTCTACTTTAGGTCAAGCTTCACTGCAGCATTCTGATTAGTTTCACATGAGTCATGTTTCTTTCTCTCCAGTGACCTGACATTGTCGAGTTTTCATGAGTTTTCTACTTCCTACCCACTCCCAGTTTTCCAAGCCGTCTTTTTGAATTGGACTACCACGATGCGCGTTGATACGCCAGGGAGTTCCTAAATGCCCTTGGGTTCATCTACGTGTGCAACGTGAATCATCGGCAATTTGATTGTGGCAACACTTTCTTCACTTTTCGACATCAAGCCTTTTGTGACATTTTGCGACCACATATCCCCTAACACAATCTAAGGCGTTTTCTACATGTACATTTCACAATGCAGCGGGTTGGAGCGTGACGTCCTTAAAAGCCCATATTTTCATGTCAGCATCAAACCGTCCAGGGCAAAGAGGGCGAGGTGTGCCTAGGGATGGCTTTCTCAAGTTGGCACTTTTAGGTGCTTTCTCTCATCGGCCTGGTCCTTGCCAAACCTCCTTCCTCGGGTGACTGCGATGTCTGCCCAGGTCATGTCCAAAAAAGGACAGCGATGGCAATTCAGGCCAAACATGGCCAAGTAAAAACAATCATACACATTCCAGCCTTGAGGCTGGCAAAATCCGGTAAACCGGGACAAGAGAATGAAGGCAGTGACCATCTGAATGCTCCACAACCGTTGTCCTCGGCACTTTTTCCAACTATATAGCAGCAACTGGTGCGGATAAACATGGATAAACATGCGCGAACATGTTTGATACCGATGACATGAATGCCTTTCAGCCCAGCTGCTTCCCCATCCAATCGCCGTGGCTTGCCCCATATGAGTGACAGTTCAACTGCAGAGTCTAGAACATCCCAAGCATTTCGTCCATCAGTTGGGGCATGTATCTGTCAGACCCATGGCAAAGAAAACACTTTTTCAGCTAGCACTTAGTCCCTCATGATACTCTATTACATTCTGTGTGTGTGCTCTCACTTGAGACTAGCAAAGTGCTTGATCAGGCAGCTTTTGGCACTTGCGCTGGATTAAGGTCATTTGGAGGGTCAAATCAAGTTGACAAGAAACGGACGATCTCTTTGATTTTTTGAATGGCGGGGCATGGGCGTCTCCGATCCTATGGCCTTGTATCATACAAAGATTTATACCAGCTATCACTGCTGAACTATCACTTGACCTTTGGTCCAAGTGATGTTGCAAAAATAACGTTCCCGCACTGCCATGAAAGGGTGCAGAACCGATTGGAATCGAAACATCCCATTGTCTGTGTCTGTGCGTGAAGTTGCAGCATGCAGGCTTTCATGGCAGCAACAAAAAATGCCAACAATTCTCGACACATCGTCTTTGGGTTGTCTGCCCAGTCGCGGAAACAGCTTCTCTTAAAACTATGTTGTAACCCATCGACATCGCAGGCTCCCAAGGGTTCCCATTCCAGAAAACCTGAGCAGGTGAGAATGGTCATTCGCACTGCTGCCAGGGACTGCGTCTTCGACGCTTTGGTTCTCTGTTGGGCTGGACTTCGACCAATTATTTCTTTGGCCAGGCTTCATGTAGCTGCCAGGCTGCCAGGCAGCATGATCGGAAATTTCGTGAAACTCGGACCGTTTCAATTTTGCAACGGCTTCAGAAAGGCTGTTGCTCCAATGCCACGAGAGCGGTTTTTTTTGCCCACTCTGTGTTTTCCGCAAATTACCATGAGACGATTGACTGATGCGCCGCGTTAGTGCAAAATGTCCTGTGCATATGAAAACACCCAGTCATTGAAGTGCGAATGCCAAGAGACGTTTTTTTGGAATTGTTGGAGATTGTTGGCATGTATGAATAGCTCATAACTCATAACAATCCTAAATTCCCTTACGGAAGTGCAAGCGCTTGTCGACCATCAGCCACTCCAGCCCCAAGAATCGAAACATTTCAGCTTTGGCATCAGTTTGCTACAAAGCACGTCAACCTGCCGACATAGCGTGCAGCAGGCACCTATGGATATGACACCCATGACCGCTCACTACAACATGACAGTGTCATGACAAGTTCAGCAAATGCTATTAGTTATCAACGTGTTTGATTGTTTCTTTTCTCTGTGCTCTATCATGTTCTATCTCTCTGGGGTCATCTCATCCTTGTTGCAATGGATTTCCGCGATGAACCCCTTTCTGGATCTTTTTGGGGGCAACGGGGTCTGGCAATATCTACGCGACAAAACATCACACAGCCAAAGCATCACGCCTTCAGCTCAAGAGTGTTTCCATCGGAGGTGGTGTCACCTTGTAAGCACTGACTTGTTGATGATGTTTGAATGATTCTGAATGACTTTCATCGTTGTTGCTTTTCACTTGTGATCATCTTGCACACGTCTCTGCCCCCATCCATCTAGCTGCATCCCTGCCTCCACGCTTGGACGGCCTGAGTGAAGACGTTGGCTCTCCAGCATAATTGAATGTCCGCCAGGCACGGTGCCTCAAACGAGACTTCAGTGCAGTTGCAAATAACCGCAATATAAGCTTAATGAGCCTTAACTCTTAACGATCTGTAACCTGCTTCAATAAGCTAAGCATGTGCTTCAATGCTCAACGATTCCTGTGGGAAAGGAAACAACTTTCCGCTCAAAAAATTGCCAAGAGTCTCAGGATGGCATCGATCCTGAGCGGCTTCACCCACCCCATTATCTCCACACCCCTCGATCCAATTCAATCCATAATCTTCATCTTTCCAAAAGCTGCAATGAACATCCAAAAAACTACGGTAGAGATAAGTAGAGACGGTGGAGATATGATTCTGCTGGTGCGTTTCCGGCCAAAAGCATCACTAACGCCCCGTATAGGTGGCTTTGGTCTGTCTGTGGAGTGGGTGCAGTGACGCTGGCGCAGGCATGACCTTCAAATCTCAGCTGAGCATCTTGTCTTCCAGCACCATTAACCTTCAGGGCGTGGAAACATGTGGGAATTCAACTGGAATACCCTGAGGACCTCGATGGCCCTTGAACTGGCTCTTGATGGTCCTTGGATCCCTTGCACCCACTGAGCTTTGTTGGGAGTGTATGGGAGTGTCGGGACTTCTAAGAGGCCTGTTGAGCATCGCATTGTCCACATCCCCTGTGCGACTCTTCTTGCTCCTGGCCAAGCAAAATTCTGACGGACTGCCAGTGCTTCCTTTGAGCAGTCACTGCTTGGGTCCTGTACATCGATTTTGATCGGAAATTGCTCACGACTCTTGACCTGCAGCTGTGTCTCGGATGTAGTCATACTAACAAGCCATGGGTCCCCATTCAATATTATTTGGCCACACAGGAGACAAATCTCAATGCCTCCACAACACAATCATAAGTTTATTCTACCCACCCTATCATAGCACAGTCTGCTGCAAAACATTCACTTGGCAAGCACTGAGATGATGACCTAGAGGAGTGAGCAGAGCAAGTGGAGTCTTTGCGCATCATCTCCGCGGATCCTGCGCCCTTTTCCCAGAAGGATTTTGCAGACTTCGAGGAACGCAGGGAACTTGACCCAGGTGGTTTCCGCGATACTGACGGCTTAAAGGGATCATCATCAGAGTCTGATTCTTCAGGTGCGCTTCCGTAGACCTCAGTCGGAGACTGATGCAGAGAAGTTGACATAGCTTACGGAATCACAAGCCGTTTTCGCAAACGCTTGAACTTACAACCTGTTTGAACCCTTCTGTGAATTTGGCATTGCCTAACCCGCGCGCAAAAAAAACGAGCAAAAATCTGATAAAAAGTGGAAACACAAGATGCACGGGCCATGCACGGGTGGTCGTCGCAGCAATCCAAATCAACTGTGGAAAAACACTATCCCAAGTCTTTGTACTCACAAGGGTCTTTCGCGAATTCTTTCGTTTTGCTTTCTGGTATTTCCTTTTTTTCTTTTCTTTTCCTCATCCTCTCCTTCTCCTCTCTTCTTTCCGTTTCCTTCCTTCTTTTTCTCTTCCTTCCTCCTGCTCAGATGGGCGAGATGTGAAGAGACCGTTGGCAAACACATTGCCAATGCCAGGTGTTCACCATAAAATAACAAATTTTGCCATTGGCAAATGGGGACTGGTGGACTTGGCCCATTGCGTCTTTCGGGGTCCTTTCGCGGATCTTTCACGGTTCTTTCTGAAAATTTGGGTGCCAAAACCTGCCAATTTACTATGACAATGGTGGGCCTGGTAACATTCATCAACGGGTGTTTCCTCTTGTTTCAAAGATTCGCAAAAATAACCAAACATTGACATGTGATGAAGAAACACATATATAAAATAACATGAGCTTTCGCGACCTTTCGCGAAGCAATTTCACTTTCGTGATCTTTCGAGACCCACCATTTCCCTTTCGCAAAAATGCTGCAGGACAACTCCCTGATTAAAGCAATCTCAAATCATCATGTCAGGCAAAACGCAGAGACATGCGGCTACACCTCTCGCCACTAGCAAGGCCACGGTGG